TCATGTAGTGTTGAAATTGCAATAAATGTAGAAGCATAGAAGACAAGTAGACAAATTAAGTGAATTTTTCTAAAATAAATTATTGCGGTAAACACCAAATTTGTTTTCTTCTTTCTTTTTCACAAAAAATATTAAAATACTAAAATTCTCCTCCTTATTTCTCCTTCCATAAATTAGAAACACTCAATTTTCCCTCCTCTTTCTCTTCCATAAAATTTAAAGAACCAAATTTGAAATTTCCCTCTTCCTTCTATCCTTTCACAAAAAGTTGAAAACTCGAAATTTCCCTCCTTTATTTCTCTTTCATAATCAAAAGAACTAAACTTTCCCACTCCTTCATTTCCCACAAATCAAAACCACCAAATCCTCAAAATTTCCCCTTTCTATTTTCTAAAAAATTCAAAGAACATAATTTCTAAGGTTGCAAATGAGCCGAGCTAAGCTTTTGCCCAACTCAGACTCAAATTCAACAAATATTACTACAGCTCGAGCTCGGCTCAACAAAAAATATCTTGGTTCGGGCTCAACTCAATGACAGCTCATAAACAAGCTAATCGAGCTCAATTAATCAAGCCCAACAAAATATCATTGGGCCTGAATCAGGCTAAAACTTGCCGCCCATAAATTGGACCACTTGTTGGGACTCGTGGGCCTGTAAACTCCTTACAAAACCAACAACCCACAAGCTAAGATTCCTACAGGCTTGAATTAGTTTTATAGAGGTTTTCCACTTCAAACTTCTTCTTTCTTTCGATGTGGTATTTATCACATTTCAAGGAAGAGAGACAATTGGATTTGAAGGTGACTTTGTCATTTTCTCTTTGCACTTCCACCCTCCTGAGCCATGTCCAACGTACTAGGCTAAAGTGTATTGTAATCCACATAATGCACCCAATTTCCATCCATTTGCATGAGCAGATCCATAGATTGTAATTGAAAAATCAGCAACTCTCATCTGCATGGCATGTCTTGTGGTCCTACTGCAATTGTCTGCTTCGTCATTTCTCATTTCAATTTTTGTAATTTTTTTAAAATACATAATATCAAGTGAGTTCCATATTTTTAAATTTCCTATACGAAATGAAGAAATAATTTTACTTAAGTTTAGAATGAAAACTTTATTTTGAGAAACTATGTATTATATAATATAATAATTATTCAAGTGGATTAAGTGAAGTTCGGGTTGAGTCGGTCGGGTTACGGTTAGTTGGGTTCGGGTCAATCAGGTTCGGGTTAATCTGGTTGCAGGTTTAATCGGGTTGTAGGTCAATCGGGTTCGGGTTAATCGGGTTGCGGGTTAAATCGGGTTGCAGGTCAATCGGGTTCGGGTTAATCGGGTTGCAAGTCAGTCGGGTTGTGGGTTAGTCGGGTTGTGGGTCGAGCGGGTTACGGGTTGTTGACTTTTAGTCAATTCGGGTTGCGATCGGGTTGCGGGTCGGGTTAATTGGGCGGGTTAGTCGGGTCGGGTTGGAATTGGCCAGGGAAAGAGAAACGTGTTTCGATTGTTTCTAATTAATTGATTTATATTTTCTAATTTATAGACCATGGACGTAAAGAATAAAACAATTAAAAGGCTCAAGATAGGGTGAGTAATAATGAGTAACCAAATCTGAACCATTCTTTTAAGTGACTGCAGATCTTAGGGTGGAGAATTAAAAGAATTTATTTTCCCTAGTTTTCTTAATTGGATCATATCTTCTTCATTCTAACTCGGATTTCAATTTTTTTTGCACAGATGGAACGAGTTCGTTGTGCTCTACAAAATGATATCCATTTTCAATATTTTTTGAGAAAAAAAATTTCATCCCTCTCGTTACCAACTCCATACCATATGGTATCTTCTTCGTTGTTTAGTCATTTTCGGAAATTTTTACACAAAAGGTACGATTTAATCATGATCTATTAGATTTCAAAATTTTCTGGGGGAAAAAGTTTCAAACCTCTCGTTACCAACTCCATACCATACTATACCACCTTGGTATGAGGTGGTATTTTTTCATACCATATGGTATGCTGTTATTTAATACCATATGGTATTGACTGGTATTAAATAACAACATATGGTATTGACTGGTATTTTTCATACCATATGGTATGCTGTTATTTAATACCAGTCAATACCATATGGTATAGTCAATACCATATGGTATAGGCTAGTAATAACTGGCAAGTTTTTTTTGTTCAAAAAAATATCAAAGTGGATATCATTTTGAAGAGCACAATTAATCTGATCTAACTGTGCAAAAAAAATTAAATTCCGAGTTAAAACAATTGAGAAATCGTCCGTTAAAGATTAAGAGAAAGAAAATTAATGAGTTTTCCAGGAGAGAGAAGGAGGCGCTGATGTGGAAGATTCTTATTGGGTTATGCATGGAGTTACTCACTACAAGGTTATTCACCGGATCTGCTCCCCAATTAAAACTGAAAATTAGATGGAAGGGTAAACTTGTTACGATTTAATATTAGAGGGGTATGTTTGCGCAAAATTTTAATAAAAAGGTATGTTTGTTAATTTGTCAAAGTAGAGGAGTAAAAAATGCTATTAACCCAAATAACAATCTACACATAATATACTGAAGAAAAAAACGGGAGCCCCATTTCAAATTTCCTGCAACGAGAGTGAAAGTAGGAAGGACATTTTGGTCTTCACAATTACTTTTTTTTATTCATGAAAAAGACACATACTGGGATTCGAACCATGACCATTTTAAAGAAAAGCAAGGATCATAACCAATTACACTAAGTACATTTGTTGTATTTTTTTAAATTAAAAATATATAATAGCAGGGAGGAAAAAACTCTTCCCCCATTTCAAATTCCCTGCTCCAGGAGCGTTTGTAGGAAGGGTAGAATAGGGAGTGTCAATTTTTTTCTCTTTCCTCTGTGGAACGGGCCAACTTACCGTACACATGCCGATTTAAACGGGTCCAGGAGTGTCAATTTTTTTCTTTAAGCCCTTTTATTTCTCCGTGGTGATAAAATATATATGAAAAGGCAAAAACAATACTCCTTTTTATTGCTAAAAATAAAAAAAATTAACAATAAACTAATGCATGGTATCTAATGGGCTAACCGCTAACCGTAAAATAAAAGAGTTGAATGGGTCTGACATACACGAGATTTGGCCATCAAATAAAACAAATGAACATCATTGATTTGTCATTCTAAAACAAACTATTTTCTCTGGCATAATATATATTATGCTATTATTTTATATCTTAGTGGCTAAAATATATATTATATAATTATTTGATATCATAATGATCAAATTATAGTGTATTTTATAGGGAATCGTTTGATATTTGTTAGTAAAAAACTAAACAGAACGATCTATTTGGTTATTTTAAACATTAAAACGATCCTAAACATTTTCAGTTCTTTTTGAATTTTTATGGTTTAATTCCCGAATAAGTGATGTGAAAATGGCGAATTGCAGTCATCTCTTTTCTTTCACTATTTTTTATTTTCAAATAGAAATTTTAAAAGTAAAGAATAATTAGAATTGGCATGGGTCAGTCAAACACAGGAATGGCAATGGGGCAGGTCCGGGGCGGGTTTCTTGGTACCCAGACCCGCCCCGTGGCAGGTCGGGTAATTGATCACGGGTCACGGGTCGGGGCAGGTCGATCCAATGGGTATGCAATTTATATTAAAAATATTAGAAATATTCGTTATTTTTATTATAAGACTAAGAAAACAAACAATATTATGACAATTGCAGTTAAATTATTGGAGAAATTGAGGTTTTCACTAATTTACAACTTTCTTATATCTAAAATATGATGCAATAAAAGGAAAATCATAAGTAATTTTACTAAGATTACATGTAAATTAGACAAGAACAGGTCGAGAATTGGGCGGGTCAGGACAGGTCGGGTCGATGAGACTACCCATGCCCGCCCCGCCCTGCCTACGGGGCGGGTTGGACCCACCCCAAGACAGGTCAAACAGATCGGGTAACACGGGTCAGGTCGAAATTGCCATCCCTAGTCAAACATGCTGAATTTCAAGTTTTGGCCCTTTTTGATCAAGTCTAATTTATAATCACATGGTTCCCTGATACCCGATAAAAATCTCAATCCAAACCAGTTTGACAGGTGAGTCTGTGTTTACCACCATTTTTAGGGATACGACAACGGCGGTTCCTATCCCAAATCGTGTTGTTCGTTCTTGATTTCCTTAGATTTTATCATGGCCTAACAAAAATCAGAAAGCACAATGACGACAAGATGAAAGTTTTATAAAGCAAATTAATCGACCAACGGGCCGAGTAAAAGCTAGCAACGATTGTCAGATGCTCATTTCCCGAAAACCGACGGGATAGGCGATTTTTTATTCAATTTTCTGGAATTCGATTTCTATAAAACTTACTCCACCTGATCATATTACCAGAAACAATATTGTTTCACAAGGTAACATGTACTTGATTTTGGTTCATAAGGCCGATTTTTTATGCATTGCATCATTCATGTCTTTTTCCTGCTAAAATTCACTATTTTTATCACGAGCTTCCAAAAAAAATTATACAACAAAAAACTATACACCTCATTACTAGGGCTGGCTATTTGGTCCCGGACTGTTTGGTTTTACCCGAAACCGGACCGTATAACCCGGACCGGGACCAGACTGAGACCGGATAGCAAACAATGCAATCTCATATTCGGGCTTAGATTTGAGGTAAAAAATCGGATAAGAGACCCCCAACACCTAAAATCAAGATAAATTTGGGACCGGACCGAATCCAATCCAATCTTTGGTCCTTATATTCCCGAAAAGACCGGACTGGGACCGGATCAATTTGGTCCAATTTAACCGGACCGTATAGCCACCCTTGCTCATTACATTATCAAATTTCATACATCACCTTTCTCCGGTCAACTGACCGGGGCCCACACTAGTAAACCGTAATTGATTATAATACTCTATATTCATTTAAGTGACATTTTTAATATATAAGAAAATTTGGATGAAATGATAAAAATAAACTTTCTAGAATTACTCTAGTTGAAAGCTTCTCCTTCCTTCCACTTTGGTAAGGTAATCGCTGAAGAAGCAACCTGGTGGTCTGGTGGAGAATGGTCACTTCTTGCTCTCCTCTAAGGTAAAGCTGTGATGATTCTTCCCTTAGTTAACCGTTATTTGCTATGAATGCCTCCGTAATGATCTTTTGCGAGCTGGAGCCTAATGAATCTCCAATAGGAATAGAACTCTGAAGGAAGCCTCTGTTTTTCTTCATTTAGGGTTTTCTTTTTGGCTGAACAACGCAGAGTTTACAGTCTAAGATTGGGCCATGGGATTTGATCGGACTGTTTCTGCTTTTGTTCGCAGAGTTTACAGCGTCATCAAATCCTACGTCAAATTGAAGCCGATCAGTAGCTTACAGGTTTGGTATTGGGTTCCATTTCGTGCGTTTAGTTGATGAAATGAAAGTTTTAGTAGCCCATAGAAAAAACAAAGGAAAAGTTGTATGCTTATGATTCCGACTATATCACTTCAATTGTGCCAGTATGCCGATTGTGGAGGGAACTTTTGCTAGGTTATTGTTAATGGCCAAGCCATAGTTCAGTTGTGATGAGATTTTCAAGTGAATCCAACAAGATTTTGGTGTACGAATTCATTTAGAGGATTTCAAACTTGTCAAGAGTGTGTCCGAAGTTCATTGTCGTAATATTGATATGATGCTCTGAAAACTGAGGGCAATGGCCTAAGTGACACCAAGTAAAGGAGAGAGTGAGAGTTTCTGTAATGCTAATTTCGGGTCCTGTTGACCCCATATCATTACAAAGTTTTTGACTTTGTGAACTTTTAGATCTTGTGGAGCTCAATGTGATGAATACTGGAGCTTTGTAGTTCACTTTAATTTGATTGCATGTGCAGGGTCGGAGCTTTTCTTGCTACTCGAGCTTTAAAAGTGAAATGACTGGGGGGAAGGATAAGTTAGCTGCCATGGAAAGAAACAAAAAGCAAAAATCAAATATGTTTGTGTGGAGACCAGTCTCTACTATTGCCCACTCTAATGAAGGTTTCTATTCTTGTTCACATAGTAGTTTACCTCAGCAGGAGTACATGATTATAGCTGCATGAACAAGGCTTAATCTAGGGTCTTGAATTAAAATGCATCATATGTCATATGGCAGGAGATGTTTTACTTCATGGATGCTCTGGCCTCTGAATTTGTGTATGGATTAGACATGGAAAAGGAAAAACTCTTGTATATGGAATGTTCCAGCAATAGCTTGATCTGTAGGAAGATAGGTGGTTCTTTGATGCATTTGGATGTGCTTGTGGAGTAGATTTTAAGAAAGCAGTTTAGTTTACGACTCTGAACTTCATCTTTTGAATCTGAAGAATCCTTGATAAGAGATGTGAATCTTCAGCAACGAGATGGAGATAGAAATGAAGAACTGCCATGCAGCGCTTCTAGCACTATGTCAAATAGTCAACAGAGTGTAACTGGACCTGGAGTTGTAATTGAAGCAGCACATTCTACTATCACTTCTTCATTAGATGAAAATGTTGAAGCAGGAGCTTTGGAAGTATTGTCTGCTGGAAAGCATTCAGTTTCAATTGAGGTAAGGACCATTTATCATCCTCTTACTAATGGACCATTTATGCATGTTCAGACCTATGTCACCGTTCAAAGTTTATGGACTACTCTCAAGTATACTACTGCTTTCATAATGACCAATTATTTTTACCATGATAATTTGCACATAAGTATTTGTCAGTTATTGTGCTCTCTTGTTTCTCCAAAAAAAAAAAAAAGTTATTGTGCTCTCTCCCTGCCTCTCTCCATCTCTCACTAAAATCTGTGATGTACTTCAATTTTGCAAACTTTTATAGTGAACTTTGTACTTCTGCTGTCACATTTTCTTTTGTTAGGACTTCAGAGTTTTTCATTTTCAGTTCTATTAGAGATCGCCTCCCTAGCATTTTCACTTACTTGCTCTTGTTGATATGTAGGTCGGTGCTTCTCTAATTCGATTTATTAGAGGAAAAGGGTATGACTATCGAGCACATAAAACCATCTTAAATAATCACTATGCCAGTTTTCTTAAGTAGTTGATTTTTCCTTTTCCAGAGGAAAAACAAAGGAAAAAATTGAAGAGGAGATGGGGGTTAAGATAATATTTCCAGCATCAAAGGATGATGAACTTGTTGGTAAGTTATCCAGGAAGTCTCAAGTTAACCAGTTACCTTAGTGCATTCATTGATTAGCTGCCAACCTTGTATTTTCAAAGTTTTTATATTTAACTAAGGTGTTATCTATTCTTGTGGGTAGTTTTCTTGCCTCAGAAAGACAGATAACGGTTGCCATGGCACTGTCCATTATTAGTTTCTTCTATTTACTGCAGTTATCGAAGGTCCTTCAGTTGATTGTGTAACTAGTGCTTCAGACAAAGTTCAGGGAATACTTGATGAGGTAAGTTGCGCACCAATCCCCATGGAACTTATCTACCGTGTCAGAGCGCTTATTAGGAATAATCATCACAGTTCTGCTGTTCTGATAGTAAATCCAGTGGTTGCTGTAAAAAGATTCGGGTAAATCAAAGAAAAGGTCTTGCATAATATAATAAAATTTAGCATAGCTGAGACTGGTGAAGTGTTGTATGACAGTATAAGTCCTTCATTTTGTTTATTTCCAAGAACTTATGGTATTTTCATGTGATACGTGCTTTTTGTATTCTGCCTTGCCTGTCATTCAGAACCACAAGTGAAACACGGGCTTAGTTAATGTCTACTTGTTTAAACGGAAAATGCATCTTATGTTTTTTATCAACACACCAGGATAGATGAACCATGCAGGGTAGTAAGGTTGTTGTCATGGCTATATATGCATAAGTATTTCTTTACCATATGGAGAACTGTTAAGTAACGCCTTCATCCATGTCTATATTTCATATTTCGTTCCATGTGTCTGAAATGTAATTGTGTTACTTAGTCAATGAGGCTTTCATTTTCAGTGGTAGGGTAAGTCATGACTTACATAATTACTTGAATTCCTAGCATCCTGTAGTAGAGCATATATAGGTACCAGAATGTATGACTTCTGCTCCGTGCTCCGTGCCTTTTTCAGAAAATTAACTTGGGGAATCCTCCTCTCCTTGTCCATCTCTTCCCTCTTCTTCTTGGGATGTTAATAGTTTATAATTGTTAGATTGCAAGGTTATTGCGATTTAGACCAAGTGTATGCTCATTCTCTTAAATCCTCCTTTTTCATGGTTTAAACAGGCCATTAGAAGTCACAATCTTGATTACTCTCACTTCGTATCTCTTCCATTGGCTATACACCCCGAATTGGTCGATAAGCTAGTCAAATTCCAGAACTCTGTTATGGGAAATGATGAATTCCTCAATGAGAATTTGGAAAATGATTCTACTGAAGGTTCCTCAGACAATGAAGTCAAGGATCAAGAAACCAACAAAAGACAAGATGTTGCAGTTGGACTTAAAGTTGGGGAAGGAAACAATGTTAGAATCGATCTGACGAGCATACCTCTTGTTAGCTACAAGCCTAAACCATCACAACAGAGAGCATCAACGTCTGCTTCATCTGGTAGGGCTTCATGAGCTTATTGATCCCTTATGCAGATGATATGTAGATATCTCTTATTTGGTTATTCTAGTTCCACAGATTAGATGTGTTTTAACTATGTCCCAACTTTACTGTTGCTTTTTATGGTTTAGTCACTGGTGCATAATCTTACTAACTCATCATTTGACTGATGCAGGAATAGACAAATCCATATTCATCAAACCTCAGACATTCCACTTGACTGTACTCATGCTGAAGTTGTGGAATAAGGAGCGAGTCAATGCAGCTTCAGAGACTTTGAAGGTATTTACTTTTACTGATACGGTAGTTGCGGTATGATCCTATCAGCATAGTTTGATGGTGTATTTTTATGCTTGGATCATAGAATCTCTCTTCAAAAGTGTTGGAGGCCATGGATAATCGACCTGTCTCTATCAAACTTAAGGGATTGGTGAGTGAAGTGAATATTTAATTCTTCGATATGAATGATCTCCTTCCCATCTTTAAAACATGTTTCTACATAATATGTACCATACTCATGCACCCTTTCACAATTTATCCTCCCATGGCAATGCAGGAGTGCATGAGGGGCTCCTTGGCGAAAGCTCGTGTACTTTATGCCACCATTGAAGAATGTGACACTGAAGGCCGACTTGTACGTGCTTGTGGTATCCAAAAATGTTGTGTTTACAATTGTCTAGTTTCATTCAGTCTCCAGACTTGTTCCTTGCAAGAATAATCGGTTGGTTCTGCTCTGTATGCAAGTGAGTTGAAAAGTTTAGGCATGTATTGTTGGGTCAATTACAAAAATAAACAAATAGGTCACTGCTTCGTCAAGTTTAGAATAAGTAGCATATAGCAGGTGATGGATGACGCGACTCTACTTTAGTTATTTGAAACTCTCTAATGACAAGTTTTTAAAAGGGTGAAAGTCATGACCAATTTGCTAGTGACTCTAAAGTTTAGCTGTCAGTTATAATATTGACCCCTGTACTGTCTGCAATCAACCAGCCTTTCCTTAGTTTTTCTTAGAAGTTATTCGCAAAGAGTTTGCTAAGGCTGGACTAGTTCTGGAGAAAGATGCTAAAGAACAGTTAAAGGTAAGTGGAGAGAGTAACATACAACAAATTACCTGTATCCTTGATTTCAGATTACATGCATTGTAAGTCCGAAAAATCGCTTACTTGAAGGGTTTCTTTGTTGTCCACAGCTGCATGCCACAGTGATGAATGCGAGGCTTAGGAAAGGGTAATGAATGATACTACTAACACCCACCCTTTGACGCCTTTTTGTCTCACTTCTTTTGCCCTACTTTCTTGACTAGTCTTTCCAATTTCACAGGAAGGGGAAGATGAAAACGTTTGATGCACGAGGCACTGTTGAGCAATTCGGAGACGAGGACTGGGGCGAATATCTCATAAGTGAAGCTCATCTCTCGCAGAGGTTTGCATATGATTCTAACGGGTACTACCACTGCTGTGCGTCGATACCGTTTCCTGAAACTGAAAGTAAGCAGGCTGTAGTTTCTGATTGATCTCTATATGAAAGGATTAGAAAGTTACACAACAGTCATAGAGCATATTAGTACTTTGAGCAATGTTTCTTTTATGTTGTCCTGTTGAAATTGTGTCAATGGTGCCATGTTCTTATTGTACTACCGTTGCTGTGCTTATGAAGTGAAGTTGAAAGAAGAGGGTGCATGAGAGAGCTCCGGCAAATTAGGTTAGTTTAGTTGAAAGTGTATTATGGAGTGGTAGCAACTAGCAAAAGGATTAAATTAGGGTTTGTTCCCACTAATGTTGGGCGGTTGGGTTGGACCATTTTAGTTGTTTATTATGTGAGGTGATGAGGTGCGAATTATGGTTTAATGGTTGTTTGAGATCCAATTCATTGAACATCGTTTCAATTAATTTCATGTGAGGGTTTAGCTGTCATGTCTCCTACTCCACAGAACACCATGATTACGTTAATTATGATTATTGTTAATTATATAGCCCCAATTTTTCTGGAATGTTCAGCTTCTAATCTAAGGGTGGCGTGGATGTCATTTTCCAATTGATCTCACGTTTTCTTTTCCTGTGAAGTTAGCTTATCTTTGGGAAACTTTCTTTTATTATATACGGATTAGAGTCCTACTATACTTTTAAGTATTGGTTTTCCGATGAATTTGTACTATAGTGTGATTTTTTCCTCAGTACACCAGTTCTTAGAAAGAATCCTCAAAATACTTCCCATAATGCACATGTTTTCACAAATTAGCTTATGTTAAAAGCAATCAACATCAAAATCGATGAAGGTCACGAACAACACGAATTGCTGTCCTGTCAAGCGATCAACAGTTAGATCATGTTAAAAGTTCGCAATTTGCACTCATCGCTTTCGACCGACGCTATTGGTTGGAGCAGACGATGCAGATTGCTAACGTAAAACGTGTTGAAGGGTATGGGAAGACGCGGATTGCTTACATGTTCCACAATGATCAGTGGCGGAGTCAGAAATCTGAATGAGTGGGGTTGATTTGAACTGAGGGGGGGGGGGGAGTCTAAGGCCTTATCGACTACTCTATTTCCTATTTTTGTTACGAACTTTTTATCCCCCCGTCCCGACTTCAATCTAGCTTCTCCATTGACGATGATCGATCGCCTTCGACGTGGGCAATTTTCTGCTTTTATAAATACCCCACCCTCTCAATCCTCATTCATTCAAATCACCACCACAACATTTCTTTATTCATCTCTTCCACCACTCAAGGAATTTTTAGTATGCTCTGTGGTTGCGGTTACGGTTACGGTTGACCTTATACACAGAAAAAAAAAGTTTCCTTAAGTTTGTCATACAATCCTCTCCCTCTAAAATCCTAGTTGAACCTATGTCCGGCTTCTGCGAAAAATGGACAAAGAGAGTCTTACAGTATCTACTTATGCAAGGTGCCTCTACTTTGTTGGCACGTCGTGGAGTGGTACCTACCGGATAGATCGTTAAGGCAATATCGTTTGGAGCAACCAATTCTGAAAATCTCGCTCCGAAGGCGTCAAAGAACTCCACATAATCAACTCACCATTAGAATTATCCAAACACCCATTTTCTTCATCCATGCAACTTGTAGCTCCCACTAACAATCCGTGTTCAACCTTAATGCATATGACATGAAGTTTTTTTTTGTTAGAATATTTTACCTTCCACTCAAAACTCTGCTTAATGGCTTCTTCTCTAAACGCATCCTTGGCGAGAAATGTCATACACACCTCCAAATCGGCTGTCGGGTTCCTCACTTTCATAGGGAGAAATATGAGCATATAAGGTATGAAAGTCAGGGTCTTTGTTATGAGCATATAAGGTATGGCTATAATCCGTGTCTTCTTCTTCACTCACAAACCTCAAATCTTTTTCATTATCCTCCTCGTGGATAACTTGACATCTCAGCAATGGAATCCTCTAACCATCACTACTAACATTGTCATCTCGATTCACTGGAGATCACCTAGATGCTCAAATGGTGTTTTCAATGTTAATCCACTATGGCCCCTAAGTCAGCCATTGAACACCATCAGATTCAATAAATAAACAAAGGATATTTTTTCCATAGTATCTCATCTCCCACATGGCCGCCTGCATAACTACCTTCTTTATAGTTGCTCGAATAACCACCCCCATTCTTACCATCCTACAACACCATCGCCATAAGAATGGTGGTGAGAAGATGTTTCACTGCCATCATAACTGGCTCTACCTTGACCGACATCCTTGGTCTCAACATACACCTCTGCAAACTCGATCTTGTTTTCAGCCAGGAAGTGCAACATCATGTTAACCCCATCATTGTTAGATATGACAACTTCTTCGTAAATGACACCGCCTCCATAGATGTTTGGATACTGGTATGTAATTTTACAAACTGTGCCTCTCATACAAATCCGGTATGCACAAATTTCATAGAGTTCTTACCACGTGAATCCGGTTTCAATCCTCAACCTAGTAGATTCACCATCTTCTTAATCGATCCCAATGTGAGAGTTTGTCAACCGACCATTCCACCGAATAAGAAGCCAATTTCCACAATCTAACCATGTCTACAATTTAAAATAAGGCTAATACCACTAGGAAACACAAACTATGAAGAAAGTGTCATTTGTGTCCCAGATCTTTGCCATGGATTTGAAATTTTGGGATAAAGAAATTGGGGGAAAGAATTTGGGCTTTCACCTTTCTCCCCCCGCACTTCCCCTTCGCCAGGCCTTTGCAGAACTCGGTGATGATTTTGTCCTAGGATTTAACAGGGAAAAGGAGATGGCGGAGACGAGATCTTTGGCTAGGATTTTCTTTCAATTTTTAATAATTTTAATCTAAGTTTTTTAATTTTGAATTTAAATATGAGGTGTAAATGACGTGGCTGTCACATTTTTGCCACGTCAATAAAAGTTAATGTCAAGTTGACCACCGTCTACTCAACCATTATCTATAACGATCAACAAAACTGACAGGACATAAATGGCACACAACTATTATAGGTTGGGACTTAGGTAACAAGTTCGTGGAGCGAGAGCGAGAGCGGAAGCGGGAGCGTGAGAGCGGTTTGTTCCAAAATTATCACATATGAGAGCATCTATAGAGCGTCCTCTAAAACATACAATACATATCGTGTTCCAAGTAAAAGGGAAAATGAGGAGAAGTAAAGTCATTCCCTATAAACACTACTTCTTCATATTACTAATACAAAGGACATTTACATGCTAAAAAGCATTTTCCTAAATGCATAAATGTCTATTGTTATGCCACGATATAAAGTGGTTAGCATGTTCCTTCATCTACACAACCAATTTACGTTGCTTGCTATACAAAAGCAAAAGGTTAATATATGTGCAAGCAATACCCTTTACGGTTGCCAAAATATAACATGGCATGATTAACCAAGCTTAACACTAAGCAATCCTACTTCTTTTGGGCTGCCTCCCATCTTCTCGAGTAACTTGAGGTGGATTTGGCATGCTTGAACTTGGAATGGCAGCATCATCTCCATCACGTGAGGAAAAGTCTTTATCCTCGAATTGTTGCATGTCAAAGTTTATCATATCATCTTCAACATAAGAATCACCATCCTTGTATTCTTTCTCATAATCCTCCATGTATCTTGTCAACAAACGATTATTATAGTGAACATAAACCAAAGATTTTGTACGATCAGTATTTAGCAAGGTTGTCAACCCGCGGGTGACTCCCGGGTCGACTGCTACAAGGTATCAGGTTGGAGGTCAAATTGTGTCATTTTTTTCTTTGGTTTGCGAAATGCGCCTATTCTCCGATTTTTCTTTTCGCCTAACTCAATCTTTGGAATCCTTAGTTGAACATTTGAATATTGATGTTATATAAGTGTGTGTGAATTTTCACTATACGTTGGATCTAAGTACGACATGTTACTTTAGTGCAATGTTATATGTTATTACTCATATGTTAGATGAGATTTGATATAATTTATCAGGATAAGTACAATATAATGACTATTTTCATATTTCCGGGCTAAAACGGGTGACCCGTTAACCCTTGTCCCACTAGCTCGAACGGGTCCGAGTCAACTCGCGGGTTGACAACCTTGGTAATCAGCTTATTCCTTTTCACACTATGGATGAGACTGTATGTGATCCAAACTCTTTTAGCACAAGAGGTATTAACACTCTGAGATAACACCCTCACAGCCAAACCATACAGCTCTGGAGCTGCTGCACCATGTAAATTCCACCGTTGGGCAGCAGGTAGTACTTCTCTATCACATATTGCTTGTGGACGAGCAAATATACCTACAAGAGGTATTAACACTCTGAGATAACACCCTCACAGCCAAACCATATAGCTCTGGAGCTGCTGCACCATGTAAATTCCACCGTTGGGCAGCAGGTAGTACTTCTCTATCACATATTGCTTGTGGACGAGCAAATATACCTACATGATTAATTTAGTTTAAATTGTAATCCACGAATAGTCTGTTAATAATAACAAAAAATAATCAATAATGGGATAGAAGCAAATTCTACAGGGAATGGGATAGAAAGTTAGAAACAGCTTCGGTAGGGAATGGATGAAGCAGTAGCCAAATCCAATTCACTGTTAGTTATTCAAAAGCAATGCAACTCCATTATTAAGCTATATTATGCCATCTCATTATTTGAACCAAACTTATTATAAAACCCAAGAAAGGAATGAGAACAAACCGCAACAAAATCCAAAGAAAAGACAGCAAATAAATAATGGGATAGAAGCAGATTCTATAGGAAATGGGATAGAAAGTTAGAAACAGCTTCGGGAAGGAATGGGATGAAGCAGGAGTCAAATCCAATTCACTGTTAGTTATTCAAAAGCAATGCCACTCCATTATTAAGCTATATTATGTTATCCCATTATTTGAACCAAACTTACAATAAAACCCAAGAAAGGAATGAGAACAAGCAGCAACAAAATCCAAAAAAAAGACAACAGTAATCAAAAGCTAGCTTATGTAATCAAAAGCAAATACTAATTCTTCTCACATTTATCAATAAGTTAAAATGGCTAGAATTAATACCCGTGCTGGAAACAGAGCCACTTAGTTTAACACGAGCTCTAGTTGCCTCAACTGAATTTCCAATTATGCGATCTACTACATCAAGATAATTTTCTGAATTTTAGGATCAGCATGCGGCTTGGCTCTTTTATCTCCCGTTGGACTAGAACTCATCAACCATTTCCTTGAATAATAGAAAGGAGTAAACACGTATGCCAACAAATGTAATGGAACATTCATCTTCCTTTATCGCTCCATAACAAGAGATTCTACAATATCATTAACTTCCACACAATCAACCAAACTCAATTGAATGAAGTTGACCATGTCTTCCATTCTTGGATAAACTTCACCAATTATAGTTTTGTCAGAATTGCAAAAGCTAATCATATTCCAAATAGGTCTTGTGAAACTAAAAACAAGCTTCAACTTCAACAAAAAATCAGCATCTAAAATGGTGTT